ATCAAGGAAAATTGCCTTGAAGTTCTAGAACAGGAAGGTAAAGCAGAAATAGAAAAAAATCCACCTATTCACCACCTGAAAGAGATCCCAGGAGGAAAACTTACAGGAATAACATAGCCAAGTTTCAAAGCTCCCAAGTTAAGGAGAAAATATTGGAAGCAATTTAATGCAATCAAATTTATCCATTTTGTATTTTGTAATGGCCTCTATCTCCTGTTTGACAAAACAGGAAAATGATAAATGTTAGAGAAAATGAAGGAAAACTGGAACACTAATGCATTGTTAGTGGAGTTGTGAAATGATCCAACCATTTTGGAGAGCAATTTGGAACTATGCCCAGGGTATAAAAATGTGCATACCTTTTGACCCAGCAATAGCACTTCTAGGGCTGTATCCCAAAGAAATCATACAAATGGGAAAAGGACCCACATGTACAAAAATATTTATAGCAGCTCTTTTTGTGGTGGCCAAGAACTGGAAATTGAGGGGATGCCCATCAACTGGGGAATGGCTGAACAAGTTGTGGTATATGAATGTAATGGAATACTATTGTGCTATAAGAAATGATGAGCAGGTGGACTTCAGAAAAACCTGGAAAGACTTGTATGGACTGATGCTGAGTGAAGTGAGCAGAACCAGGAGAACGTTGTACACAGTAACAGCCATGTTGTGGGACGACTAACTTTGATAGACTTAGCCCTTCTTAGCAATGCAAGGATCTAAGACATCTCCAAAGGTCTCATGATGGAAAATGCCATCCACATCCAAAGAAAGAACTATGGAGTTTGAATGCAGATTGAAACATACTATTTGCTATTTTTTCTTCTCTTTTGTTTTGTTGCCTTTTTCTGGTGGTTCCTTCTATTGGTTCTAATTCTTCCTTACAATATGACTAATGTGAAAATATGTTTAATAGTAATGTAAAAAAAAAAAGAAAATATTGGAAGCAACAAGGAAAAAAAAACAACCAACCAATATACATATCATGGAGCTACAATAAGGATAACACAAGACTTAGCAGCTATTCTGTTGAAAGACCATAGGTCTTGGAATACTATATTTTGTAAAGCAAAAGAGCTGGGGTTACAACCAAGGGTAACTTACCCAGCAAAATTAAGTGTAATCCTGTATGAATAAAAAGTATATTTAATGAATGAAAGATTTTCAGGTATTTGTGACAAAAACAGTAGAACTTGATGGAAAATTCGACATATAAGATCCAGGATAAATATAAGGTAAGCATTAAAGACTAATTATAAGGGACTCAATAAGGTCAAATTGTTTACTTCTCATATGTGAAAACACTATCAGTACTCTTATGACTGTCATTATTTGGGTAGTTTGAAAGAAAGGCTTGGGGGGGCAGCTAAGTGGTGCAGTAGATAGAGCACTGGGCCCGGATTCAGGAGGACCTGAGTTTAAATCCGGCCTCAGACACATAACACTTATTAGCTGTGTGACCCTGGGCAAGTCACTTAACCCCTAGCCAAAAAAGTAAAAAAAAGAAAGAAAGAAAGAAAGGCTTGGGCTGAACTGAATATGATGGGTTATTCTAAAAACAAATTGTGTAGGGAGAGATAAAAAGGAGTAATTATGTCATACAAATGAGGCATAGAAGGAAAAGCTGATACAGAAAGAGGTAGTAGGGGGAAAGGCAGGTAGTGCTGGAACCTTACTCTCTTGGGAATGGGTTAAAAAGAAAATCACACACACACACACATGAGTATTAAAGTCTTTTAAATTCAGAAAGAAATGAGAGAGAATAAAAGAAAATTTACAAGGAAGCAAAGAAAAGATGGACAGCTCTGAACACAATATGTAATATTTATTATAAAGGCTTTCTTGAAATGGAAATTTATTGCAATAAAATTGCAATAAAATTATTGAATCCTCTCTTACATTCTGCTGTGTGCATGGCAATGCTTTTTTTTCCTTTTTTAATTTTGTATTGAAGTTTATAATGTTTCTTTTTTTCTTATTGTGTATTTAAGTTTTAGTATTTAAATTTAAAATAAATTAATAAGAAAAAAAGAAATAAGAAGGCAAGGGGATAGGGTAGTGGAGAGGATAAGGGAGGGACTCTTACAGGGGTAGGTAGGTTAAGGAATAGGAGGGCAAGGTAGTGGGTAGAAGTAAAGCAGAGGAGTGAGAAGGGATAGGGTAAATAGGATGAGGATAGTGAGAAAAAAATAGGAAGGAGAAAATACACAAGTAATTATAGCTCTGAATGTGAATGGGTTGAATTTATCCATAAAATGGAAGCAGATAGCAGATTAAAAATTTGAATTCAACAACATGTTGCTTTCAGGAAACACTGTAAAAACGAGAGATACACACAATGATAAAATAAAGGGCAGGAGTAGAATTTATTATGTGAAAAAAGCAGGCATAGTAATCACAATCTCAGACAAAGTTAAAGTTAAAATAGATTTAATCAAAAGCAAAAAATAGGGAAACAGCACTATGTGTCAGCAATATTGTTCTATGTGGTTTTCGACCATTTAAAATAACCAGATAGTATAAAATACCCAAGAGTATATCTGCCAAAACAGACACAGAAACTATATGAACATAAACATGAAACACTTTTTATACAAATAAAGTCAGATTTAATAATTGAAGTAATATGTATTGTTCATGGGTAGACAAAACCAATATAATAAAAAAATGACATTTTAACATAATTAATCTATTTATTAAATTCCATCCTAATTAAATTACCAAAAAATTGTCTTACTGAGTTAGAAAAAATAATAACCAAGTTATTCTGGAAGAACAAAAGGTCAGGAACTTCAAAAAAAAAATCCAGGGAAAAAAGATGTAAAGGAAGCAGATTCAGCAGTCTCAGACCTCAAACTATATTATAAGGTGATAGCATTGTTAAAGTATAAAATGATAATTTTTATTATTTTCAATTAATTTTTCTTATATAAATAAAACCTATGTAGCTAAGAATACAGGGAACGCAGAAAATTAGGAGAAAACTTTCATAGACAATCTCTCAGATAGCATGTGATTGGTTGGAATATTGCTGTGGTATAGGAAATGATGAGCTAGTTGATTTAGAAAAACTTGGACTTATGAAGGAAGATGCTATCCACCTTCATAGAAACAGATGACAAATGGAAATAAGCATAGTACAGTCATATATATGTTTATGAGTCTATATGTGTATTTATGTATAAGTTTATAGCTATCTATGTATATATATACATACATACATATATATTGGTACTTAATTGTAGCCTTCTTTAAGGGGAGGAGAAGGAAGGAGGGGGAAAAATTAAGTAAAAACTGCACAGCAGAGAACAAAAGAAAACCTATAAGGAAGAAAAGAAAAGCTGGGCAGCTTTGAAAACAATGTGTAGTATTTATTATATCAGTTTTCTTGAAATGGAACTTTATTGTTTTATATTGAATCCTCTCATATTCTGCTGGGTACATGGCAATGTTTACTTTTTCTTTTCTCATTTCGTATTTAAGTTGAAAATAAATTTTAAAATTTACAAAATTTTTAAAAATATGACATTTGGAATTCACTTGTTTCTTGTGTTGTTTTTGTGAATTAAAAACAGTCTGATAAAGACTAAGTAAATTTAATCAATCTTTCCAGGCAAGATGTAAAATACCAGATTAGGTCTAGGAGTCAAGCTGTTTTTGATTCCTATTAAGAGAAATGTTACTTCACAAATATGGACATATCATATAAGACATCTTTTGTAGCCTTCAATGTATTTATATACTTTAATTTATATTTCTGTAATAGTTTACTTCAAGTATTTAGGAGAAGGAGGGTGGGGCAATTATGGGGTAGAATTCATTTGGTTTACTTAAAAATGATCTGAGTTTGAACTTGGTAAAATTGAACTCTCTTCCTTTGAAGTAGAGTTTTAATAATGGGCTTTTAGAGATACCTTTTGGGAGATAACCAGTCAACACCTGTCTATCACCACTTTATGAAAGATCTCCTGAAAAAGGCAAGCCATAAAACTAACTGAAATAAAACCATAAAGTTATCATCACTCAATAACAGTCTTTTCAGCAGCTTATTCTCATAGTATAACAGTAGCACATTCCTGTGCCTCACGTACCATAGCCTAAACAAGCAGTTATTTTTCTTAGCTCAGCGAATTCAGTCTAACTTAACAGGGGCTGGAAAAAAAAGGAGCTACAATATTTTGGTGCATTGGACATAAAGAATATGCAAAATAATATATAAATTATTTCCTTTTAAGTCAAAAGTTTGGGGATTTTTAATAAGACTACAATACCATCCAAAATAAAAATCTTTCTCAAAATTAAATCAAAACCCCTAATGAAGAATAGTTTTTAATTTTTATCCTACAAGTAGTCATTCATGTTCATGTCCTTCCACTTATTCAAAATGACTGAGGCATTCCAGTTTTATATAAACATAATTTTTATAATAACAGCTCAGTGATGCTAGTCTATCAAATACCAAAGATGGAAATCTTTAGATATTTTATATAATTTTTACTTAATCGACTTTTCTGTAAACCTTCTTACAGTGACCTTTTTACATTACATATTTCTTTCTAGTCTCAATTTCTCATTTGTCTCATTTGTAAAAAAACAAACTAACAAAAAACCTAACTTGTCTGCTCTATGAAAATATCTCAACGAATGCTATATTACCTTCTCAATCCATAGAATTGATAAGATATGATAGGTAAAGAAACGGGAACAGAATAGTTTGTCACCTGAAAAAAGCAATAGGGACTTGGAACCCTGAGCCCTTACTTCTGATCCTCTATTTTCTCCATTCAATATACATCCTTTTGAAAAAAAAAAAGATACTTCAAATGGATGAAAAGAAATTATGTAGAAAAATGTTATTTCTCACAGCTTCAAAGGTATTTTAGTAACAAAACATAGCTGATACCATGAAATAATATCAACAAAAGTAGCAAATGAGGTGATCTATCTGAATTACAATTGGAAAACTATAACCCAACTTTTTAAAATCCATTTTTACTCACCGTCTGATGGTTTCTGTCACAGTAACGCAGTCCAAAATAATCTATCTCCACTAGGTTTATGTGATGGAATATGTAGTCAAGGATGACAGAACCTTTCGTTGACTTCTGTAAGAAAGAATTTTCAGAATCTTTTCATAAAGACAGTAAAATCACAGATATAATTATTGTTAACTTTGTCTAATACAGGGACAATTTTATAAAGTCTGAGAAAACAGCTAAATTTTACTTGTTCTATAAGTATTGCCTCAAATTGAAGGAAGAAAATAACAGCTACATGTATACATCAAGCAATCTGACAAAGAATTTTGAAGTTATAGTTATTTTTTATGGTTTTTTTATTTCCTTTTGTATTTGAGGGCCTTTTCCCCTGGTCACTTGCATAATTTTTTGTTTGTCATTGGAATTGTTAAATTTAACCAAAATATCTCTTGAAGTTTATAGCATAAGTTCATTTGGTTTTTCTGGATGTGATTTGTGGGTTCTTTTCATTGTAATTTTGTTTTCTGTGTTCAGAAATTCTGGGCAATTTCCTTATATTATTTCTCAGACTGTATTGTTCTTCTGGGAGACCTACAATCCTTAAACTGTCTACACATCCTATCTTGGAGACCATGATGTTTTTCTTGTTTAGAGATCATGTTTTTTTAAAATGTTATTCCTTTTTTGTTTCTCTTTTTTCTAAGATCTAAGATTTCTAAGATTCTAAGATTTTCTAAAATTTCTAAGATTGGCCTTCACTTCTAAGTTTGAGATTTGTCACTATGGATTCAATTTTTTTTGTTTATTCTGCCAATTATTTCTGCTGTGCAAGACAAATCCTAATTTCATAATTCTTATTTTCTCTTGAACCATTAGAACACATACTGCTGTGGTTCCATGTTCTTTTGGGAATCAATAGGATCCTCTGCCTCATGTTGATTTACTTTCCTCTCTCTTGAAATATTTATTCTTGGATGTCTGGCCTCTTCTAGATAAACTGGAAGCCATCTTCCCTAGTGTTATTAATATCTTCCCTGTGTTCAAGATTTTAAACTGAATTTTCCTTCTCCTTAGATCTTTGGTCATTTCAGTCTTTTCCCCATCATTTTCTTCTATTGCTTATTTCTTGAGCCTTTGAAGGAAGTTTCCTTGGGGACTAGATCTCAAAGCTGTCTTAGTCTCCTCCTACAATGGAGAAATCACATTTCATTAGCCTCAATCTCTACTCCAAAGGACTTCTGAGGGGATAGCATTGGTCTCAGCTGTATGCCAATCCCCTTTCCTTGGGCCCCCTGTCCCCACTCCCCAGATGCTGGTGCTACTCTCCATTTTCTTCATCCCTCAGTTCTATGTTGAGTCCTGCTGCAGCAAAGCACCCTGCCATATGCTGCCTTCCCAAGCACAGTAAGCTTGAGTTCTATTTCTTGTTGCTTCAGAATGGTAGAATAAGGGCAGGAGCAGGCCAGTGAGTCAGGGAGTCTGGACTGCAGCAGTAGAAAGGAAACAGTTAAGCCAATCAGAAAGTACAACAGGAGGGTGATGTTGCGCTGACCCTCCACAGCATGGGGCCAGAAGGAGACAGGGTACTGAATGAGTAGATTAGGGACTAGGAATTAGCCTTCTCTGCTGTTAATGCATCAAATCAGATTGTTGCCTCACTAGCCTTCTTGTCTTAACTCATGGAAACAGCTCCAATTGCTTTACCTCTTTCACAAAATTCTTATTTTAGAGAAGTTTGAAAGGTCATGAAGTTTGAAGAAAATGTCTAGTCCTCCATCTTGTTGGTCATATGACCCAGAAGTAGGCCATGTATCTTTAAGAAAATTATGGGTTTTTTTTGGGGGGGGGGTAGGTTTTAAGACATCTTGCATTCTATTTATTGGCCATTACCAAAAAGATCCCCCGTAAGAAGAGTAATGGCCTTTAACAGATTATAGTCTCATCATTTTTGGTAGAAAGAGAATTTATTATATCTCCCACTCTTTCCAATCTCTCTAATAGACTATTGGTAGAAGAATATGGTAGTATTTCTTGAAAGTTCTTTAATTTTCATAATAGATAATTGGTAGATAAAATAAAGCAGATTCATTAACAGTTGTGCCTAGAGAATTCAAGTTCCTTCTATTTTGCACTTGAACGGGGCATTTATTAAGTGTTTACTATGTGCAAAGTACTCTGCTAACTACTAGGGTTACAAATAGGAAACATGGCCATCCCTGCACTCAAGGAGCCTATATTCTAATGGCAGACACACATATATAAAGTTTCAATTTTTTTTTTTTTTAGGCAATTGGGGTTAAGTGACTTGCCCAGGGGCACACAGCTAGTAAGTGTCAAGTGTTTGGTCTGAGGCTGGATTTGAACTCGGGTCCTCCTGACTTCAGGGCCAGTGCTCTATCCACTGTACCACCTAGGTGCCACTATAAAGTTTCAATTGTAAGTCAAATGGAAAAGCCCCATGGTCCTTAGTATGGTGGTAAAGCAGATATTACTGCCTCTTCTTTATTTGCCTTCTGATTCTTTTTTTTTTCTCCTAAAGGCACAAATTCCAAAAGGAGAAAAGATAGAAAATAAGCAGCCTGGAGGATACCAGAAATATTAGTTATTTTGTGTATTCTGGTCATAAGATTAAAAGATTTAGAGCAAAAAAGAATCTAGTCACCTAGTCCAGAGCTTCTTAACCAAAGAGTACATAAATTTCAGAGGCAGCAAGGTAGTACGGTGGATAGAGTGCTAGGCCTGGAGGCAAGAAGACTTCCTGAGTTCAGATCTGAGCCCAGGCACTTACTAGCTGCGTGATCCTGGGTAAGTCACTTAACCCTGTTTTCCTTAGTTCCTCATCTGTAAAATAAGCTAGAGAAGGAATGGCAAACCACCCCAGTATTCTTGACAAAGGCAAAGAAAACTCCAAATGGAGTCACAAAGAGTCAGATATGACTGAAATGACCGAACAACAAACAAATTTCAGGGAGTCCTTGAAATTGAACAGAAAAATAAATTATATCTTATATCAAAATAACTGGTCTCCTCTGTAATCTGCATTTTATTTTAGGCATTTAAAAACATTATTCTGAACTTGCTAAAGTAGTACATGATACAAAAAGATTAAGAACCTCTCATCTTGTACAGCCCATTCATTTTATAGATGAGTGAACTGAGGACTGCAGGTGATGTGATTTGCCCAAGATCACAGGAAACAGAAATTGGCTTCAAACAAGAGTCCTCCAACTAAAAATCCAATATCCATGCTGTCTTAGTGGACTAAGTGAGATATTAAGTACAATTGCAGTTAAGGGAGCCATGAATTTATCAATAATGGAAAATGTTTGCAACACAAATCCTCTAAAATTAATCTTAAATCTGTACAACATTTCGGCTATGTGTGGCTATCTTTTGCTGCTTTATGAAGGTTTTACTCTTACCCTTAAAACTTACTAGAGGGACAAATACACAGGCTACATTTCAAGGTTGGAGGCTTGGGTTACATTTGGTTGAGCCTAGGGCCTCCAATTTTTCAATCTTGTAGAGAAATTGATCTACATAGTTAACCTTCCACATACTGATTCTTTTTTCATGTACTTTTGAAAAGCAGGGCATGAATACCCATTTTTGTTCAAAAATTCTTAGTCCCACATTTACAGTGTTATTACTTTCACTTCACTGACAAAAAAAAATTAAAATCAGGCAGGGCAGAAATAAAAATCACAGGAAAATAAATTTTCCTGTTCTAAACCAAAACAAAAATTATATGACAAATGAAGAAACATCATTCCAAAAAATATGGTAGCACATAAATTATAACTGACTCTCTGTTCCAATCTCTTGTGGAAATTTCCCTTTTATTCAGCCAATTAAATCTTCATATAATGTATAGGATAGGTGAATTCATTTCTGCTGGTCATGCTTATATTAGTAGATTCAATTCAGTCTTAATTTTTATTTTATCAAAACTATTTTTTTTATTTCAGTGACATCTAATTCCAACAAAATCTTATCCTTTACAGCTAATATAAAGAAGGATTCTTTTATAACTAAAATTTGCAGGGTATGGGAAAGGTAAGGCTTTCATTAAAACTTTTTATCAAGCCATCTCAACTCATTATTTAAATCAAATTTACAGGTCTGTCTAATTTTTATCCTGTAATCAAACTGATGGACATTTGGCTTTCCATCCTTAAAAGAAATAAAGAGAGCTAAGTCTAAAACAGGTAAAATGGGGGAGGAAAGCAAAGTAAAAGTAATACTTTAAAATAAAAGAAGCATCAGGCTTTTTAGAATAAATTTTATCCTCAGGAAAATGAGAATTATGAACTTGATTAAAATGCTTCAATATATCAACTTGTAAAGAAAGAAGGGGAAAAAACTCAGAACAGTCTTCTACAGTACAGAATAGATTATACTACACAACCTCAGCAGATTTTCAGAAAGCATAATCACATTTACTTATAGGCAATATATGTTTTATACATAGCAGACCTATAAACCACATAGCAGATTACAAAACAGAATTTTATAATCTTAGAGAACTCCAAATAGAAGCTAATTTGAAAATAGCATTAATAAAGTTTTCAACAGGGAACAGAAAATTTGTCTAACAAGTAATAACACCTTCACAGATTAACATGACATTAAAAACCAGAAAGGCAGGTTTCTACAGGCTATGCACAACGACAACTTTTACATTCAAGCAAAAAAGATCTTATTTCTTCATAGTAGAAATCAACACGTCAAAAAAACCCACATAATTTACAGATTAACAAATGTACAGTATTGCAACTGAAGCATTTTAAAATTCTGTTCATCTACTAATTTAGTATTCTATTACTCAATATAAATCAATGCTTAATTTTTTTTGTTTCTCATAAAGTAGGATCAAAGCTAGGGGTACTAGATACTAGATTGAAGCTAGGGGTACAGAGAACAGATATAGGGAAATTCTCTTCAGTATAAGCATTAGTGGGGATAAAGAAAGGGAATGACCTATGCTGTCATAGATGTAGGAAACTCCCAGATGAGCCATCTTTCTTTACCAATCCAGGTTAGTATCTTCTCTATAGTCCTGAAAGTGAAGAAACTGAGAACCTGCTTCTGGAAGAGTCACGATAATGTGTAAGGGAAGTGACTTG